CGCACGCACGCACGCACGCGCACCACCACCCACTACGCACGCGCGCGCGCGGAGCCACAGGTCCGCTACGACACGCGTCCGCGGATAGAGAAAATCAACGCCATGGTAAGGGATGGGAGGGAGTGTTAGGACGTCAGATATGACGCGAGCGCACCTAGTTTCCTCCTCCCCCTCCCCCTCCTCCTCTCCTCCTCCTCCGCCTCCTCCGCCTCACTCCTCCTCCTCCTCCTCCTCCTCCTCCTCCCCCTCCCCCTCCTCCTCCTCCTCCTCTCATCCTCCTCCTCCTCCTCCTCCTCCTCCCTCCGCCATCCTCTCCGCCCTCCACTCCGCCTCCTCCGCCTCCTCCTCTTCTCCTCTCCTCCTCCTCCTCCTCCTCCTCCTCCTCCTCCTCCTCTTCCCCCTCCTGCTCCCCTCCTGCCCTCCTCCTCCTAATCCTCCCTCCCCCCCTCCCCCGCCTCCTCCTCCCCTCCTCCTCCTCCACTCCTCCTCCTCCGCCCACCTCCTCCTCCTCCTCCACCTCCTCCTTCCCTCCTCCTCCTCCTCCCCCTCCCCTCCTCCCTTACCTCCTTCCTCCTTCCTCCTCCTCCTCCTCCTCCTCCTCCTCCTCCTCCTCCTCCTCCTCCTCCTCCTCCTCCTCCTCCTCCCCCTCCCCCTCCCCCTCCCCCTCCCCCTCCGCCCTCCCCTCCCCTCCCCCTCCCCCTCCCCCTCCCCCTCCCCCTCCCCCTCCCCCTCCCCCTCCCCCTCCCCTCCTCCTCCCTCCTCCTCCTCCTCCTCCTCCTCCTCCTCCTCCTCCTCCTCCCTCCTCCTCCTCCTCCATCCTCCTCCTCCTCCTCTCCTCCTCCTTCCCTCCTCCCTCTCACCTCCCCCCCCACCCTCCTCCCCTCCTCCTCCTCCTCCTCCTCCTCCTCCTCCTCCTCCTCCCCTCCTCCCTCCTCCTCCTGCTCTCCTCCTCCTCCTCCTCTCCTCCATCCTCCTCCCCCTCCCCCCCACCCGCGAAGGGCGGGTGCGCACCCTCTCCGCGCGCGAGATGCGGCTCCTCGCGCGGTCAAAGCCTCGGGGCGCCACGCGGGGGCCCGGCGACGAGCGGCCGGCGGCGCGCTCGGGGCGCAGATTTTGGGCCCAGGTGCTTAGTGACCTCAGTGCGATCGATCCTTGATCCTCCAACCTCCTCCTCGATCCACGATCTTCCTCATCCTCCTCGAACCTCCTCCTCGATCCTCCTCCTCGGTCCGCGGTCCTCGGTCCGCGGTCCTCGATCTTCCTCGATCTTCCTCGAAACTCCTCCTCATCCTCCTCGATCCTGGATCCTCCTCCTCCTCGATCCTCGAAGCTTCTCCTCTTCGAACCTCCTCCTCCTCCTCCTCCTCCTCGATCCTGAGTCCTCCTCCTCCTCCTCGTCCTCCTCCTCCTTCTCACCCTCGACCCTCCTCGTCGATACTCTCAGATTCAATCCTCGATCTTCCTCCTCGATCCTCCTCCGCTCAAGTTGTTGTTCGCACTTGAGCCGAGCATCGTTGCCACTGCAGCGCGTGATTGCACACGCTTTTTGAAAAGGTGGCTGCAGGTGTGCACGCATGATCCTGTAGCCAGGCCGACAACAACTGTGCCAGCACGGCTGCGCGGCCCCACGAGACGATGCCAAGGCCAAGATGAGGTCGGACTGGGACACGCCCGGGATCTCTGAGACCCGGCCGTTTGAGTAGGACGGATCCCTGGGAGGCAAACGATACCCCCCCCCCAGCGACGTCGTTAAGAACAAAAACGCAAAGCAACACAATTGTCTCGGCGGCGACCTCCTGGCGATGCCGTTAGCACATACAATAAGACATGGAACAAACTATCTTCGCCGCTCGCCTGGGACCTACTCCGAATTTCGTAGTCGAAGGGAAAGGCCAAAACCCTTCCAGGCGAGAAATTTGTCCAGACCCCGGGAAACCTTCCAGACAGTTCCAAGCAAACCCCCTCAGAGCAGACTACTCCCTTTTTAATTGTGAAATCTGGCGCAGCCAAACGAGGAACATCGAAAGGCCCCGGCAGGCCCACGATATCCAGCTCCGCGGCCGTTCCAAATTGCTCTGAAAATGTTCTGAGAGCGTCCCGGATCGCTCTGGGGGGATCTGTATCTGGGCGCGTCCGACAAGGGGCCGCGGGGATGGCCTAATCCAGGCGCGCCGGCCACGTGAGCGACAGAAAGAAACGGGTCTTGCGCGAGATGACATAGCGGGCTTGCGCGGTGGTTTACGCGGGCCGCAAGCGCGGCAAGCCACAATTGCAACGAAGGCGTTCGCGCGCCACCTTTTGTGGGAAACTTACGCGCAAATGTCGGCGCAATCGGGGATCTTCTGACATGGGTCAATCCAAACCCGGGTCAGTCAAGCCTTGCAGAATCCTGCAAGATCCTGCAAGATCCTGCACCCAAACCCGGGTCAATGTGCAGGATCCTGCAAGATCTTGCAGGATCCTGCGCCTAAGCCTGGGTCAGTGCGACCCTGGCCATGCAGGATCCTGCAAGATCGGGCGCTCTGGCTGACCCCCGTCTGCATTGACCTCCGTCTCAAGGCTCCCGACGCAGTCGACCCCATTCTCTTCCAGCGCTGATGTGCTTCCTGGGGGGGCCCGCCGGGCCCGCGCGGAGAGGCCACTCTGGCGAATGGCCGCCCTGACGTGCAGCCGATCGGGGGAGACTTGCCCCGCCGTGGAGCGATCGGCCAGCCGGGACGGGACCAGCGCTCGGAGGACGAAGAAGAACGGACTGGCGAATGGGAGCACAGTCAGAGGAACGAAGAATGACATAAACATAAAACATCGGAGGTCCGCGCGGGCTTCTCGGATCAGCGCTGGACCCCCCCTGGCGGCGCCCCCGGCGCCGCCCCTGGCGCGCTCCGCGCGCCAGGGAGGGTGTATGTCATTCTTCGTTCCCCTACTTTTGGCTAGCCCAGGCCGCTCCACAGCGACGCACCTCGCCATGTGAGTGCCCTCCCCATCCCCCCCTCCTCGCGGCCGCTTTCGCCTCCTCGGACCTCTGAGTTTTTACGTACACGTCATCTTTCGTTCCCCTGAATTGGGGGGTCAAACCTCTCAAGGGGGTGCGTTTCGGCTGCACCTTCGAGGTGGATCCAGCCGTGGCGACGAGGGAAGGCCGGCAGTGCCCCCAGACATTAAGTCGGGCACGTCCCTCTACAGGGGGAATATTCAAAGATAGCAAAAAGATAGTCTGGGGACGATTCGTCTAGCATGTTTTCATCTGTTTTGTGTATGTTTGGGATATGCTTTGTTCTTCGTCCAAAATCCGCCTGTAGGGGGACATGCCCGACCTACTCGATGCGTGGACCCGCAGAAATCTGGACCACTTCCCCAGTGCCAATTTCTCGTCCCTCGTCGCTTCTTGACGGTCCTGGGGCCCGCTGAATGCCCCTGGGGGCCGAAGACTGTTAGAAACCGGCCGCTTTGATTTTTTGCTGGGGCCACGGATCTATGGGATCGGGAGGGGGGGGAGCAGCGAACGGGGAAAGGTTAGGTCGGGCATGTCCCCATTCAGGCGGTTTTTGGACGAAAGCTAAACAATACCGCAAACATGCGCAGAAATAAGCAACAGATGCTAGAACCATCGTCTCCAGACTATTTTTTGACCATCCTTGAACACTCCCCCTCTAGAGGGACGGGCCCGGCTGAAGGGATAAGGGCTCGAGCGCGAGAGGAGGGCAGCGACCCGCCCCTGCTGCTCCGGGCGCCCCCCTCCGCCGCCTGGTTGCCAGGCCACCCGACTGCGCGCCTCGCGCCACCACCTCTCGACGAACGAACGACACGCATCCATACCCACAGAGAGGACGGAGGGGGCTGTGGGTGCGTGCTGTCAGATGGGGGTCCCCGCTCGAACGGGAGCCTCCCCCGCGGTCCGACAACCCGCACCCGTACTTTAGTAGAGGAAACTATTGGTTTTCAAAAAGTTTGGTCTTTAGAAGCTCTGCGTGCCTGCGGGGGCGCCGCCACGTAGAAGTACTGGAGACCGAGCATTTGGGGCGTCGCTACGCACGCCCTCTGCGTGGCTTCGACCATTTGTTAAAAAAAACCCTGAACCCTTTGAATTCACGAGTAAAGTACCCACAGCAAGTCCTCCTCCTGCCGAGCCCCCTATGGGCAGGGGTGTGTGTTCCCCGTTCGCCGCCTCTCGAGACGGGCAACCGCCCCGGCTCGGGCCGCGGCGCGCGACGCGCGACCGTCTTCGCGCAACCCCCCGCGGGTGACCCCGAGCTCGGGCCGGGCCGGCCTCCCTGCGGGGCAGCTGGCGGCCGTCGTCCCCGACGCGAGGCTTCGGACGGGGAGGGCCTCTTTAGGGGTCCACATGCGAGCCCTACCCCTACCCCCCACGATTTCTGACGGGTGGGGTGGGGTTCACTTCGCACGGGAACTCCCGAGCGAAGTGAACCCCGCCGTCCCCCTCAGAAATCGTGGGGGGTACAGGTAGGGTTCGCATGTGGACCCCTATCCTTGCCTCTGCCCTCCGGGGGGGCGCGCTCCGCCACTCGCAAGAGGCAGCCGCTCACGACTGGCCCAGATCTGCCGTGGGGGACTCACAGCGAGGCGAGCACGGGCGTGTTCGGACGTTTGCGAGCAGGCACTTCGCGAGTCGTGGATCGCGCTCGGTGACTCTGGCAACAACAAAACCCTCTGGTGAGAAGAGCGGCCCGGGACCATGCCCCGGCGGGCGCAGGCCCGCAGAACTTGAGGCCGCGCCGCCGTCTCGAGAAGCGGCAGCGGCACACTCGCCAATCGACTTGGCAGGGTGGGGTGCCGATCAGCCTCGGAGCCTTCCTCTCTGACATCATGGACAGGGCGGTGGCGATGCCCGTGCACGTTCCACTCAACCACGGCCCGACCCTTCACTCGCCATCGCTCGGACGTTCATTCCCTGTGTTTTTGTTGGTTTCGTGCGTGTTTTTTTCGCCAAAAGATCAAGGATGCTCCTCGATAGTCCTCGCCGAAGGAAAAATGCACACGTCCGAGCGATGTCAAGTTCAATCGGGATCCCCCACTGGTGTAGGCTAGGACGTATGCGTGGACAGCTGCCCCTAGACACGATAGGGATCACTGCTCCTCAACTGCCAAGGCGGGGAATGGCGTCGGGTTTGGCAGGGGGCAGCGAGGAATTATATAGACAGTGAGGAGACACAGGCGGAGGACCTTGCTCTGAGCAGGAGACGCATGATCTATGTGCTTCGGGCATGGTAGAACATGTAAGCTGCAGCACAACAACACGCATTCTGAAATCTAACAGGTCGCACAACGCGTACTCGTGGTACATAGAAAATGAACGACAAGCGGGGTCAAGCAGAGGGGGAGGGGGGTAAGGCAATCTCAGACAGTGCGAGACGATGGCAGGCAGGTGGAAGCCAGGGCAGGGAGGGACAGGATAGAGCCGGCAGGCTTGGGCAAGAGAGTGCAGGCAGATGAGCACTTGGTCAGATACACAACTGCAGGATAAAGGGGGGACCAGGAGGGAGGAGGGAGAGAGGACGGGGAGGGAGGACTACGATGAGGGACGAGACGGAGGAGGTCCAGGGCCTGGCCACAGGAGCCCAAGAGGCTTGGACGGCAACGGGCGCTGGACTCCGGGGCTCCCCTGGGGGCGACCGCCGATTCCGCCGACGGCTGGCTTCGCCGACGGCTGGTTTCGCCGGGCTGGCTTCGCCGCCTGGTGAAACCAGCTCCGTCGGCGAAACCAGCTCCGTCGGCAAAACCAGCTGCCGTCGGCGAGACCAGCTGCCGTCGGAACCAGCTGCCGACGGCGAAACTTCCCAACCCGACCCGCCCGCTAGGGCCCGCCCGCCCGACCCGACCCGCCCGTTAGAGTTCGCGCATGCATGCTTGGTCGAGCGCGCCCCGCACTTTCATGTCGCGCCCGCCCGACCCGACCCGCCCGTCAGGGTCCGCCCGCCCGACCCGACCCGACTCGCCCGTTGGGGCGAAACCAGCGGGGCGAAATCAGCCCCGGCGAACCCAGCGCCGGCGAAACCAACCGTCGGCGAAACCAGCGGGGCGAAACCAGCGCCGGCG